GTGACTACCACAGACTATGAATCGATGAGCTATACGAGGATATTGACATAGTTCAGAGTAAGAAGAGAGCTAGGTCATGTGGTCCGGATGACTAAGAATACTCCAGTTCTTGAAAGTTTTCGATGCACTACCAGCTGGTTTAAGCAGAGAAAGAGGAAGAGGAAGATCTCCACTCCGTTAGAATGATCCGGTCGAAAGTAACCTGGAGTGATATTATTGAATCGTCTATAATCGCATAAACGGTGCCAACGCTTATCCAGTTTTTCTTCCAAATTTATTCGAAATGTATAGCAATGGTAGCGGTGTGGTAAACCATTTTGAAAAAGTAACAATTTTTATTATAATAATAATATTATTATAATATAATCTTTTTTATTAGCGAAACACTTTTCTTATGAACTTTTGTTTTTCAGTCAAAAAATATCCGCAAATAAATCTAATTTAAATTTTCATTGTGGGTATAAAGAAATGTTTAATACTTGCATTTAGATGCTACTGAATCTTACTTTTTTTATTTTTTTATTTATTTTATTTTTCCGTATGCAACATTTGACTTTCTTTCTTGACAAACACCGAAAACTTTTGTACATTGCAATTTATGCAAATCTGTTAACTCTTTAATCAAGCGAGAGCTAAATGACAGCTATTTGAAAAGTTTCCTGGGACATAAGGCAAACTTTATTTATACATACATATGAAGAAAATTATTTATTTATTTTTTTTTTTTTGACAAAGGATGGAAGTCAAATATTTTGGTGTAAATTTGAACAGAATTTTTTTTTTTTTCATTTAGAAAGTTTGCTCTTTCATACGCTTGAATTATTACCGTCACATATTACTTAACAGTTTTATATTGTGTTTGTACAAGTCATTTATCTACATATATAGGACAAGAAAATATGAATATGGGTGACACAAATGCTTATATTTATTTTTTATATATTTTAGCCTTCCCTTAAAAAATTTAAACGTTACTACAATCTTTTTAATTTTTCCTTCACTTTTTTATTTAATTTTATTAATTTTTTATTTTTTTTTTCTCCTTGTCAGCGTAACAACTTTTATGAGTCAATTTATGCACTAATTTTTTCGTTTTCATTCCCATAAACTAGCTTACGAATTTGTCGTACCTTTTACTTCATTTAAATATTATTATTCTGAAAATATTTATGCCGCCACGTAAAAACTCGAATAAAGGCATAGCTAGACGATATGTATTTTTACTTATATAACACACAATTTCTTGTGACCCTCAACTCGACATAATCACAGTTAAATCACCTGCAAATTTCATTTCACAGCCGGATAAACATATCCCCATCACTTATGCTTACATTTCCTTGTATATCCCCTGAGTAGCGAATCTCATGTTACCCACTAACACTGGTTTCGCCACTGTACGTACACTTCAACGCGTCGGTATGCCTTTCATATTATGATACTCTTACTCACAACCGCACACCCTTATTGCAAACACCACTGTCATCCGAAAAACATTGTCACATTTTCCACTTCTTTCATTTCCATCTAAGGCAAGTCACATATCCTTTGCTTAAATACACGTTATGGGAGCTCTCGCCTTACTTGCTATGTATTCTGTCTAAATGTTGGCGCCATAGAGAATTTAGCGCCTATGAATATGTATTTATTTATTTATTTTCTCCTCGCTCACCTTTTCATTAAGGCTTTAGATGCATGTGATTGTCAACCATCACCCACTTCAATGGGTCAGGTCGTATGGAGATGTGGAAAAAGGAATGCATAAATGAATTTGTTATGGAGCATATAAAATTCATATTAAAGTTGTGCAAATATTTATGAAGATGAAAAAGGGCAAAGATGCAAAAAGATGTTGCAAAAAAAATCCAAAATCTTATTACAGTAATAATATTCCATAAAAAATAATTTTACAATAGAAAACATTTAATATAAACTTTTAATATAAATATATATATAAGGTCTAGTAAGAAGTAGTCCATTATTTTTCAATAGATGGTGTTAATTATCTGTATATCGCGTTTTATAAGCCCGATCTTTTTCCGCTAGACGGTGTTTGAAAGACGACATTTCGTACTAAAAAAGTTTTTTAAACAGTTTTGGGATTCTTTGAATTATTTTTGTTTGAGCGTGCGGCAAAGATGGACACAAGCAAAGAGAAAATACGCTATATTTTAAATTTTTCTTCGATAAGGGCGAAAACTCAAACCAGGCGGCTGAGAATTCGCAGCAGTCAATCATGCACAATTTCAGTTTCATTCCGGTTATTTTGATGTAAAAGTTGCTTCACGGAGTGGAAGGCCAATTGTCGAAAATGTCCTTAAATTAATGAAAATCGGCGAGTCTGACCATCATGAGAGCACTGTTCGATTACACAAGAGTTAAAGATTGCACAAAGACCGTTTGGAACCATTTGAACAAGGTTGGCTGCGAAAAATAAGAAATTTAAGCCTTTAATTTCATGCAAAAATAGTGGATTTCTTTTTACTACACCTCTTTCTCGTTAAAAAATTAAAAAAATATATAGCATTGATATGTGTTATCGTTTTGTTTTTTATTTTTTGCCATTCCAACCTTTTTAAGACATTATATGCACTGTTTTATACATTTTGTGGTTTAAAAATAAACGTCATAAATGCATTTAAAATTAATAGGTTTTTTCATAATATTCCTTTTCTATTATAAACAGTCAATCTAGGAATTATATGCGAAACACATCATCATGGCCGTCTCGCAAATTTTTGCAAAATTTCGCTCCGTTTGAGGTAAATTTCGACTACTTTTTCACCCATATTGGGCGCTATCTCAGCCGTAACTGGACGCATGTTGGTTTTTAAGTGTTGAAGAGTCAACGATTTTTCCGCATCAGCACAGTTTATCGCGTACCCAACACGCACAACAGTCTCACGGTGACAAATCACACGATCTACGATAGATTACACGGGCGGGAAATAGAGATATATTCGCTGGGGTGGCGTAGCATGAGTTCCTGAAGTCAAGTATTTCCTTCCTAATTTACCTTGGCTGTTTTTCTCTCTGATCGGGTGCATGAAGGTCTTATAGAGAAATTAATGAACTGGTGAAACCAATAGATACGTCTGTATACACGAACGACAATCAGAGATATACATTAAGATGAGAAAGTTTCGGGGAATTATTTTATTCTTTGGATAATCGCAGTTTGGTTCATCATGAGTTCATTCCAACGGCACAGATGGTCAATAAAGTGCATTAATTGAGCGTTTTAAAGCGTTTGCGCGAAATCAGTCGCTGTAAACGACCGGGATTGTGGACCAATGATTTCCGGAAACTTTCATGACGATATTGCGTAATTGCACCAAGCTGTAGCTGTGAGCGATTTTAAGACCAACAACTCTTTCAATACCATCGATCAACATCCGTATTCACCGAATTTGGCCCCATGCGACTTTTCTTTTTTCCAAAACTCAAGTTACCACTCCATGGAACCCGATTGGACGCGATTGAGGCGGTAAAAGAAAATTTGCAGGCGGTTTTGAGGTCTACAGATTTCATTGTTGAGAGATCGCGTTCATTTTCGGCATAATAATTAAGGACAGTACTTCGAGCTTAACGAAAAAAGTGCAGATAAATATTCAGCATTGGCAGTTTATATGACAATTTCCGGAAACTCTCTGGTCTCAATGTTAGACGGAACTTTCCGATTTAACTGGCTACAGACTGGCGACTTCTTCTTTACTTCTTTCTTAATATAAACACTGCTTAGGCGCTTACCTCTTTTCGCTACTAGAAGCCAATTGGAAATAAGTAACTGGCATTACTGGAGTTGAAGTCTTCCCCTTCGCCTGTTTCCATCGGCGATTGCTCCATCGAAAGCTTCCAAAGCTAGAGTACTTTCATCGATTAGAGTTGTAGCAGATCCCAAACCCAGTGCACTAAGTGCCGTGGACGCAACCAGGACGGGAGAAGGTGGTCCTCGTCAAACTCACAATAGCGATTATGTAAAGGAGCGCAAATTTGATGTTGAATTTGTGTTGTCTTAAAGACTTTGTCGTAGAGTCTTGCATTTCACTCCTTGGAGATAGTTGTTATGCTGGCTAGGTCGTAACGGATAGATGAAATCACTTTAGCTTTGAATGCATACGATATAGTCTCACTGGTTGAAGAAGAAGTTGAGCAACCTGATTTCACTTGGTATATCTTGATAGCTTCAAAGAGCGTAGCAAGAAGGAAACTGTGCTATTGTTATTATTGATTTAATAATCTGACAAGAACCTCAGCGTACTCTGCTAAGCTTACTATCAACGAAACAAAAGGCTTGTATTTTCAACCAAATTAAATACACAATCGAATCGACGTTAAGCAAGTATTGAAATTATCGTATTGAAAAGAAAAATACTTGTCCTTAAGATAGTGGTAAGACTCAAGATCTGACAGCAACTCTTCGACACGACATGTTGTGACGATTTCAGGTATTATGGTAACAAATTTCAGTTGTCTAAACTCTATTCTTATTTGAAATGATGAGAGGCTTTGGCTGTTCTTAATCCATCTTTCCTCTGCTTCTCTCCTCCAAACACCACTTCATTTATATTCATTAATGAGCTCATTTGTATTCACTTCTTCAACTACTTCTAGAGTTGCCTTCACAATTTCTGAGCAGCGTTTTTTGCCACTTACAATTTACTTTTGACCGCTACGCTACGATTTTTGCCACTTATACCAGTATAGTGGTGCTCCTTACTTCTTTTAGTAATTTTTTAAACTGCCACTTTCTTCTTCGCTCGTCATTATACGCTTCTACGGACAGTTAGTAGTGGTGAAAAGTAGTTAGTTGCCCACTTTTAGCCAGCTTCTGACTAATTACCGCTAAATTTATTTGGGTACTTTCTAGTTGTAGTTCAGCTTTTTCCACAACAATTTTCATTTTTGGATCAACTTTTTGGTTTATTTTTATTTTTTGTGTGTTATGCTGAGCCATTTATTAGGATTTTTTTATTTCCTTTTTTATTTAATTTAATTTATTTTTTTTTTTTGGCAAGTGCTCAAGTGATGTTAATTTAGTATTTAAAGCACGTGCCACGGTATTTAATATCTTAACGCGCGTTTTGTCTGCTTTGTCGTCCAGGCTCGTTGGTTTAGTATTTGTGGAACGGTTTAAGAGTGATTTTTGGCGTCTACTTTTAGGCGTTTAATACTCAAATTTGTTTTTTGCATTTACCTAACTTCTCAGCTGAACTAAAACCAGAGGAGAGTAGTGAATTTTTCTGTAAATTAAATCAATTCGCACAGTTTTTAACTTTTGAATTTTAAATATGTTTCAAAAATCAATATTTTTGGAAAGAAAAAAAAACCCCAAGAAATACCAAAAATATTGAAAACTAAAATTAATTCTAAATATTGTATTGTGTCTGCCTCATACGAACATTTGCCACTGCATAACTACCATGTAGTATTTCATATGTCCATATATGTGTGAGTAAATACATACCTTGACTAGCCTCGCTGCACTCGATAGCAGTATTCATTACTAATTTGCTTTTGAAACTTTTTGATTTGATTTTACAGCAAAAATGTGGTTGTCTGCCACCTGCTTGTCTGCTTTCCAACATAACCAACTCTTTACATACTGATTTATTTTTTTTTTTTTTCAGCCGCAAGTTCGTTGTCTTTTGTACCGAGGCGCCGTCATGAATGAATGCCAAATACTTTTTTGAATTTTTATTACCATTCAACTCAGTCGGCGTTGTATTCTTTTTATTTTTATTTTATTTTGATTTGTTGTTACCGTTGTTTTTCAATTTCTAAAATCGTCAGTTTTTTATGATTATAGTTAGTCACGAAACGTATTGGCGCGACATAATGTCAGTCATTTTGCAATGGGAGTTTAAATTGCACTTGTGCACTCGAAATTTACAAATTTTTGGAATTAATGGCTTTGGAAAATGACTCAAGCATGACGGGAAAGATTTCAAAACTACTGGCGACTATAAAGTTAAATAAAGGGAAAACAATTAAATAAAATTATATCAAGCTAAACTAAATTGAAATAATATATATTAAAAATAAATTACATTAAATTGAAATAAAATAAATTGAAGTAATTAATTAATTAATTTAATTAAAAAAATTTAAAATAAAATAACTTAAATTTAAACCAATTTAATTTAATGAATTAAAACAAATTAAATGAAATAAAACTAACTAAAAAAATCGAATAAAATAATATAAAATGAAATAATATAAATTGATATTAAATTGCAATAATTTATGTGAAAACCTAACAACCAAGATAAAACAACACAAAATAAGATAAAAAACTAAAAATAAATAAAATAAAATATGTTACAAATTAAAAATAAAAATTAAATAAATATGTAATATATTATAATCTAATATATAAATCAATTTAAATTATATAAAAAAATAAATAAAACAAAATAAAATTAATTTTATGGAACGTTCTCAAACCATATATTTTTTCGAAATAGTGACAGTGAATAGTTACAACAGTTTTAAATGGTAGAAATAAAATAATGTCAAATATAATTATTCATGTATAAAAGGTTAGTGAAAAAAGAATTAAAATAAAATATAAATAAAATAAAATCATTATAGCAAAATTGCATAAAATAAAATAAAACCAAATACAAAATATAATAAAAAAAATTAAATCAAATTAAAATAGAAAATGTTGTAAACTTAATTAAAATTACATAAAATAATAATATTGAAGTAAAAAAAATTAAAATAATGAAAGCAAAGTATAATAAAAAATTAAAGAGAAAATTATAGGAAATTACATAAATTAAACTAAATTTATATAAACTGAAATAAAATAAAATACAAATAAAAACCAAACTAAATAATATTAAAAGAAAGAAAATAAAAATAACTAATAACAAAATGGTATTACATATTAAATTAAATAAAATTAAAGTCCATTGAAATAAAACAAATATTTTTTAGAAAATAATAAAACAAATGAAACGATAAATTAGCAAAAAAGTAAGTTTGCAATAATATAAATTTTCATAAAATACAGTCGAGTGGTTAGCATTACGTACTGCGATTCGGAAGGCTCGGGTGTAAATCTCCGTGCACCAAACATCCAAAATTTCTAGAAAATTAGTTTAAATAAAAAAAGAAGTTAAATTTTAAGTTAATTGCGGTCGCTCCTCGGCAGGGAATGTCAAACCGTCCGAGTGTATTTCGGACTTGAAAATCAAAAGCTCTTCATATAAAAATATCAGCCGTTCGGAGGTTGTTTAGTACGAGTTGTAGGTCCATCCATTTGTTGGAAAAACAAAGTTTCAACATATTTTTAAACTAAAAAAAAAACTAAGTTTAAATTTGTGGTATTTTTTTATCAGTCCACCTTAATGAGTATTTATACTCTTATATAAACCTTTAAGTATGAATGTAAAAATAATTCCAACACGTGATAAAACACGATTTCATATTATTCAGCTATGTCAGTAAGTCAGACATGCGAAGGCTGTCTTTTCGACTGTCTCTAATAATATTTTTAAACATTTATTTATGTATTCGATTTTTGTAGAGGTAGGGATGCAAGTATAAGTATAAACTAGAACTTTAAGCCTGGCTGTTGGCGGCTAAATTACTTACATATAAAATATATGTATGTAGCCAACTGTAAGTTGTTACCAACTGTCTGGCTGTTTGCCTGCTTGCAATGTGATAGACATCGCTGCATTTAATTTGGGTTGTTTGCTTTGATTTTTACTTTAGGTCTTTGCATTGCAAAACAACTGTCAGGAACTTGATATTATATCTATATATCTTTACTAATATTGATATTCTTTCTTTTGTGTATTCCATCAACCATTCCAAAATTTAGTCAACACACTAACACAAATTTATTTCTAATGGTTATATAATTCATTACAAATATAATTTGTTTTTATTCATTTCGTGTTCAAATGATTGTCTGTATAACCACTTTTCAATCCTAATCATAAAATCCATTAACTTTTTAACCGCGAACGAAAAATTGTTATGTCTCTTTGACTAGTTGGCAGTATTATGAAGTTAAATTAAAAGAGCAGCCTGAAGCTTCTTTAATAAATAATTGTTTATGGAAAATAAATCAGTTAATAAAAAAGCCTTAAGCTCACTTATATTGCACAAAACAAGTAATAAAACAAATCGTGAAAGCAAATAAATTTATTTAATTATGAAATAAATTGAAGTAACAAAAAAAAGGAAGAAGAAGAAAGCTATTTTCGACCTTGCCAAATTATGTATGCCTTTCATGACCATATAAGATACATATATGGTATTTCAGTTTAAGATTAATTATTAATTCATATCTGAATATTTCGACGATTTTCAGTGACATAACTGTTTGCAGACTCGAATGTTGAGTACGAAATTTTATACTCGTAGACGCTTTTTCGATAAATTTTTGACCCAAAGCATGAAATTTTAACAAATCGGGTGTGTGATGGATATTATATCAGTGCCGATGCATAACTCGTAATATTCTTACGCTTTTTGATGCTTTTATGAAGAATTATCGCCCAAGCGTTGAAATCATAAAAATCGGTCATTCATCACCTATGTGGGTACGATCTGGCCGTTTCCAACAAATGATCGTTTACGTGTACGAGAATAGCAAGCATATCGATCGCTTGCTGCAAGAGCCTGATTTAAGATGGCAATAAAAAAACTAAAAAAAAGTTTCGTCTTTTTCTCCCAACATTTCTACTGAAAAGCATGCAGAAACCTTAAGCCATCAGCGCATATTGCAGCGCCGTTGAGACTGTGTAATGGTTTCAAGGAAATTCTGTTGGATACGATCATAGCACACCAAAAATCATATAATTCCTACATATCAATTTAGATTTCCCTAAAAAATATGGCAAAATTAAACAAATAAATCATATAGCAAATGAAATATGGAAAGCTTTCGAATTTAGAGAGTATTGCTCAACCGTTTTTCTTGTTCTCGCTTAAGCATTTGGCATGATGTGGCTTGATGGTATCATATATAAAATTATTAAATCATTACCTAACTCGTTACACAATATCCTTACCCAACAGGCGATTCACAACAAAATTAAATGAAGACATAGCAGAAGAGTATCCCATCACGGCAGGTTTTCTGAAGGATCGTGTTTTTGAACAGATATTGTATATACTGTACTCCACAGATCCTATGATCGGCAAAGTAATGAGATCAGCATTTGTGAATGAAGCTGGCATAATACAATTAGTCGGCACAAATTCCCCCTTACAACCACAAAGCACTTTAAAATAATTGATGAATGGCTAGTAATATTGCATATAACGTTAAAGACAAAAACATGCCCTATCGTCAAGCTCAACAATATGCCTATCCCTCCAGCAAACGAAATCACATAAATCGGAAAAAAATTTATTCCAAAACGCTGTGGCTCAAACGGAAATCGGCCAGTTTATATTGGTTTTTAACAAAAAGTCAGGGGATGGCTTTAACAACCAAATCTTGTTATATAATCACAAAAAAATACCGGTATGGAAACGAACATTTTGGCTAACACCTTGGCGCATCCAACAATTCAAACCCGCCTTCTAAAGAGCAGCTTCTAGCTAGCATGCCGCAGCAGCCCGTTCATAGTAATGGGCTTTATATCATTCTATATAAAAACTGGCGAACCTATCTCTTGTTCTGTTGCTAACATATTAGGTCTAGTGATCTGTATCTTGCGTTCTAAAAGCGTGATGGGATTTCCAAATATGACGGTAGAAAGTTGATATTTCGTACTAACAAAAAGAAAGCGGAATAGTGTTGATCTCTTAACTCAGTATTGTTCGAGCGCACATCGAAGATGGTCACCAGCACAGAGAAAATACGTTATAATCACCAAGGTATCTTTGATAAAGGCGAAAAAAGCAAGTCAGTTAATCTGGCAAAATTTCGGGTTCGTTGACATCGTTTCGATAATTTTGATGTAAAATACGCTCCACGATATGGAAAGTCAATTGTCGATAAAATAATGGAAATCCTTTTGTCTGGCCATTGTGCTGACACTGTTTCGATTAAGCAGAATACAAAAAGTAGCTCAATATATGGGGCCTTGTAAGCTAGTGAATCTATCTAGTAGTATCTTATGAGTCGAACTTGTTGTAGCGTCGCAAAATCTACCCATTTCTGAGAAGTGTTTCACATACAGCAACATCAAACAACCCTGTCGAAGGGCACTGAGACATCACAAACGGTCGCCAAACCAGTTTGTGTTGCTTGTTTGGTGTGATCGGCATGAAATAATCTACTACGGCCAACATTAACTGAGTTGTGTTTCATCAGGACTACGCCAGACCAAACACATCGATAGTGACTCGCCAGAAACTTCGAGAGCTTGCTTAGGAGGTTCATATTATTGCGAAAATGCGAGGCAAATGTCAGATGAAAGAGAGAAGCCGATAACTAGTACATTCTAGAAATGACAAAACGAGAACCTTCGATAGCGAACAACTCGAGTATTCTACACTTTCGTCTACGAGCAGCCGACTGTTATTGTATATAAGGGCGACACTCAGCTGCCAAGTCAAGTCAGTAACAAAGTGAACTCGTTGGCGTTAACATCAGTAAAGTCGTAAAGTAAACGCGTTGGGGATTACATTTGAGTAAAGTAAAAGTGTAAATTGTGAATGTTGATGCTAGTGATTATAAATAGTAAAGTGCATTGTATTTGAATTGTGAATTACTGAGTAAA